TTTTCCCCAAAGCTGCATAAGTTGGAGGAGGAGTGTAGGTTGCATCCCCTAGGCGTCAGGAGAGCACTAGCCTTCTACACTGAAAGGACCAAGCCATTCTGCAAGTCGACACAGTTGTTACTACGGTGGCTGACAGGATAAAAAGTCGTCTGGTGTCCACTCAAAGAATTTCTTCTTGAATCACTGTCTGCATTCACTGCTGCTTCAATCAGGCAAAAGTGCCACCCCTGGCAATTGTAACCACCCACTCAACCACGGCGCAAGCCTCTGCAGCAGCTTTCCAAGCCTAGGTGCCTATCCAGGACATTTGCAGGACAGCCACCTGGTTGTCCGTCTGCACGTTTACGTCCCATTACACAGTTACCCAGCAGACCCAGGACGATTCTGGCTTTGTTAGAGCAGTGCTGCAAGCCGCTAGACTATGACCTCCACGCCCCCCCTCCGAGGATACTGCTTGCAAGTCATCTAGAATGGAATCAACAGGAGCAAGCACTCAAAGAAGAAAAAAGTTACCTACCTTTTCCTAACTGTTGTTGTTCGAGATGTGTTGCTCATGTCCATTCCGTTACCCACCCTCCTACCCCTCTTTCGGAGTTGCCAGCAAGAAGGAACTGAGAAGACGTAGGTTCGGAAGCGCCTAATATGCCAGCACATGAGCACAGCACTCAGGGGCGCCACAGCTGACCCTCTGGATACCGCTAAGGCCAAAATCTCTGACAACTGTGCATGTGGGTGCACAAACGCCTAGAATGGAATGGACATGAGCAACACATCTCAAAGAACAACCATTACGAAAAGGGAGATAACTGTATTTTCATCTTCTGTCACAGGTATTTTTAGTAAAAGTCAGGGACAGGTCGCGGACAATAAACAAAAATTCACAGAAGCACGCAACCTGTCCCTGACTTTTTTTAAAAATACCTGGGGAGTGAGGGGGCTTGCTGCTGCTCCAGCCTCTGGGAGGAGCTGATTCAACTCCGACTGCTGTTCCAGTAGCCCTGGGGCTGGCTGCTGGTCAGCTGTTCTGGCGGGCCCGGGGCTGACCGAGAAGAAGTCACAGAGGTTCTGGAAAGTCACGGAATCCGTGACAGAATTGTAGCCTTACTTATTCATTCCTCAGAGGTACAAAGCATACAGAGGAAAGGCTACAAATAACTGAGGCCTAACTGAATGGATCTTACCTATCCTTTTAGGACTAGATGCTAAGACCCTGCTTAAAGACTACCTGCCTGCAGCTCCTATTTTTCTCCTAGTCTGTATGTCAGCCTTGTATCCCAGTGACCAGTTCCCTCTCCTTTGCTGCCAGGGGAACTATTTTAGCTGCTTAGGGTCTTTTATGATCTCAGCCTTGGCAAAACAAATCCTGTTAAGTTTGCTGGCACCTGAAAGTAGCATCTCGCAAATTTGAAGATGTATACCAGAGGCTGCCCTAAATGGGAGAACTGTGGGTTCCCCCCTCTATAGCCTCCTTTAATTTAACTCCTGGCATGTAGGCAGGTTAATATCAGATAACCTGAGAGGCATACAATTTTTTTTTTTAAACACCTCCCTCATTTTCCAGAAACCCAGTGCAAATCCCTGAAATTTGTGAATGAGTTATGCAAACAAACCTAACAAAGCAAAGTCATTTGTGTTTGTTCTATTTAAATCCATAGCATACCACTAAAAATACCCTAGTATAGTTTATTTTTAAAAAATAAAATGTGAAGTTTGTTTCCAATATTTCCATGCATTAGGGTTGTTTGATTCCTAGACTTTGACATGCAATAGCAGTCTGGCTAGCCAGGATATTGATGGCATCTTCGCATAACCCTCTTGTATCTAAGTATTGCAATACATATGGTCTCCATGTGGGAGTCCTATTTGTGAGGTGAATTTTGCACTATGGTAGACTAAATCAAAATTTCCTTGCTTTATCTGAGACTTTACCCTTAATGTGTTAACTTGCTATTTTCTGCTTTATTAGCTAACAGAGTGACTGACTCTCTAAATCTAACTAAAATGATCCATTATCTTCCAGTCACCTCCATTTCCTTTCCCACAATCGATCTCTCTAAGTAACAAAGCTTGACTAATTCCTTCTATTCTCCTCTCACACCATCATTCACTGCTGCTGGGTGTGCTGTATCTATCTCTGACATCTGTAGTATCTAGAACCAGTGGTTCTTGCAACAGAATTTTTGGTGGCCTCAAAGTGTGACCACCAACTCTTGCTGGTAGCCCTGCTGATCATTTTTCCTGAAATATTTAACTTCAGGAAAAACAAATAAATATGCACATACACACGTCCAAATCTTTGTAATTTATTAAATCTTTTTGCAGACTCAATAATAAGAATACTGTACAGTTGTCTCTGTTCTTTACGGGACCTAAACAGAATAGAAACACAAATAAGGTGCTCTGCAGGTTCTTGTGTTTTTTGTTATTGTTTGTTTTGCTTTTTTGGTTGCTTTTTTTAAAAGACTTGCTCACTAGTAAGTCTGCTGCTGTGAAAAGTGATATTAACAAACATACAAATATCACTTTTCACAGAAGCAGACTGACTTAGTCTTGGCAAGCCTGGGGACAAATTAAGTCTTGGATGGGAAGGTCGGTAGGGGGGAAATAGGGGACGGGGGGGAATGCATGATGGGCTGGTGGGGGCCAAGGGCGATGTGGGGAGGTGAGCCCCTCACCCGGGGGTTAGAGCTCTGTGGCCAGAGCCTGCTGCCCACCACTCCAGGGCTGGAGCCCAACCCTACTGTCCTGAGGAAGGTGGGGAACTCACTACCTGCTGGCTCCTCCAGCATTTGTCTCAGGGCAGGAGGGTCCAACCCCTGCTGGTGGCCCTGGGGGAGGGACCACTGCTTCCCCCTTCCCCACCACCCCATCACTGCCCAGGAGGCTGTGGTTGCAAGAAATGCCCCTGGTGTACATATGCAGCCATGGTGGCTGCATTTGAGAAACACTGATCTAGACACACATAACAAATTAGTAACTCAAGGTTACAGCAGAAGAGCACTTATTGATTGCATTACAGATTGTGCAAGGGGTGAACGATTTACCTTCGTGTTTATTTTTGTAGGCTTATATAATTGGCATCACTCAATACTTGATTTTTTATAAGTAGGAAGTAAATGGCACTAAAATGCTCTCTTTTGTGTAGGACTTGTCTGATGTGAAAGCACGTTTTGCTTTTTGCTTTAATTTTGAGTAACGCAAGCTACACAAAGATCATCAAAACTATCCAGCCATAAAAGTACACTTCGTCAAGCAAGGAGTAGACTGCCTTTGCCTTGTGAATTATACTAATTCTTATGCTTTCTGTTTCTAGTCTTGTCAATTTAAACACTTTGTTCTGCACAGCTATGCTTTATACTGCATACATTGACTTATTTATTTCAAAGTAGCAAGGGGCAGAAGAAGTCAACTGCATTAAGTTTTGTGTTTTCCTGAACCAGCCAAGATACCTTAGATTAAGGATTATTATTTGCTGGATGAATGACCATAACTAAGGACACCAGAATGATGAAAATAAGTGATATGGCTGTGAAAAAGCTAATGCAGTCTTGGGATGCATCAGGCGAGGTATTTCTAGTAGAGATAAGGAGGTTTTAGTACCATTATACAAGGCATTTGTGAGACCTCATCTGGAATACTCTGTGCAGTTCTGGTCTCCCATGTTTAAGAAGGATGAATTCAAACTGGAACAGGTACAGAGAAGGGCTACTAGGATGATCCAAGGAATGGAAAACCTGGCTTATGAAAGGAGACTCAAGGAGCTTGGCTTGTTTAGCCTAACCAAAAGAAGGTTGAGTGGAGATATGATTCCTCTCTATAAGTATATCAGAGGGATAAATTCCAGAGAGGGAGAGGAATTATTTAAGCTCAGTACCAGTGTGGACAAAAGAACAAATGGACATAAACTAGTCATCGGGAAGTTTAGACTTGAAATTAGACGAAGGTTTCTAATCATCAGAGGAGTGAACTTTTGGAATAGCCTTCCAAGGGAAACAGTGGGGGCAAAAGACCTATCTGGCTTGAAGATTAAACTCAATAAGTTTATGGAAGAGATGGTATGATGGGATCACATGATTTTGGCAATTAATTGAGCTTTAACTATTCATGGTAAATAGGCCCAATGGCCTGTGATGGGATGTTAGATGGGGTGAGATCTGAGTTACTACAGAGAATTCTTTCCTGGGTATCTGGCTGGTGAATCTTGCTCAGATGCTCAGGGTTCAGCTGATCACCATATTTGGGGTCAGGAAGGAATTTTCCTCCAGGGCAGATTGGAAGAGGCCCTGGAGGTTTTTCGCCTTCCTCTGGGGCATGGGTCACTTACTGGAAGATTCTCTTTTCCTTGAAGTCTTTAAACCATGGTTTGAGGACTTCAGTAGCTCAGACATAGGTGAGAGGTTTATCGCAGAGGTGGGTGGGTGAGACTCTGTGGACTGTGTTGTGCAGGAGGTCAGACTAGATGATCATAATGGTTCCTTCTGACCTTAATATCTATGAATCTAAGTAATTGCACATGATAAAAATCTGTAATAGTTGATTATCAAAGTAGAGAAAACCTTGCAACTGAAAAAAGAAGTCGATAGCTTAGAACATAAGAATAGCCGTTCTGGATCAGACCAGTGGTCTTTCTAGCCCATATCCTGTTGTCTTAGAGTGGACAGTTCCTGATGCTTCAAAGGAAATAAACAGAATAGGGCATTTATTGAGTGATCCATTCCCTGTCGTCCAGTCCCAGATTCTGGCCGTCAGATGTTTAGGACACCCAGCATATGAGGTTGCGTCCCTGACCATTTTGGATAATAGCCATTGATGTACCTATCCTCCATGAACCAATTGCTCTTTATGTGGCTGTCCCTAGGAGTTTGATATGTTGAAGCATGTTTCTGAATAAAGAACTTCAATACTATAAATTAATATTACACCTCCATATGCTGATCTACTTCTTAATTTTTTATTTTTGTTACATTGGGAATCACTGATTGTCTTCAATTTTCTTTCAGTAAAACGCTTCAGAGAACCAAAGCATGAAAGACGTCCTTGGAGGATATGGTAAGTCTTTAATAGCTCCTAGAATGTTTTTTATATCCTAGATGTTCAGCTCATGGAAAATGAAAGAATGATCACTTGCATATAATGTATAATATGAGAAAGCACTTTAATAGTCAGACTTAAGGGAATACATGAGGAATGATGGACGCAAATCTGACATCAGGAATCATAACATTCAAAAACTGGTAAGAGAACACTTCAGCCTCTCTGGCCACTCAGTAAAAGATTTAAGGGTGGCAATTTTGCAACAGAAAAGCTTCAAAAACAGAGTCCAACGAGAAACTGCTGAGCTTGAATTAATATGCAAACTTGATACCATTAACTTGGGTTTGAATAGAGACTGGGAGTGGCTGGGTCATTACACATATTGAATCTATTTCCCTAAGTTAAGTATCCTTACACCTTCTTGTCAACTATCTAAATGGGCCATCTAGATTATCACTACAACAGTTTTTTTTCTCCTGCTGATAATAGCTCATCTTAACTAATTAGCCTCTCACAGTTTGTATGGCAACTTCCAACTTAACTGTACGTGTGTGTGTATATATTTATATATCTTCTTGCTATATGTTCCATTCTATGCATCTGATGAAGTGGGCTGTAGCCCACAAAAGCTTATGCTCTAATAAATTTGTTAGTCTCTAAGGTGCCACAAGTATTCCAGTCATTATTTTACTGTACGTTTTTCCTGTTCGTTCTGTCTTACTACATACCCCTTTAGAAATCTTATTCTAAATGCTAAAGATTCAAAAAATATTTGTGTGAAAGCTTGAGGTATCGTTTTTAAAGTAGCTGTTTTACTCCCTTTTCTGTACACCAAACTAAATCTTCCCTAAAATATGCCTGTGCAGATCCTTGTTGAGGCTTTGGGATCCATGTATTTAATTGAAGGTAGAATTTGGCCCATAATGTTGAAAAGCAGAATGTCTTGTCAGAGCTTTGTAAACTTGGACTCTTAACTGATGTGCGGGTTCATATAAACACTATTCAGATTACCCCCAAAATGTCTTTCCTTTGTCATCTGTTTTTTCATTTATTGAAATGTCTAATATTTCTTAAAGAAAAGGCTTTAAAATGAAATTAAACCACAAAAATATCAGGAAAAATACTAAGTCTTTCAAAAGTAAATGGGGTCTTAAATTACAGGCCAAATTTTCAAACTTGGATGCTAAAAAATTTGTTTAGGCACCTAAATAGAACTATTTTGTAAGGTACCTTTTTGTGAATTGAAATCTAAATAAGTACCTGGACCTGGCTTTTCAGTGGTACTGAGCAGAAACAACTGCTGTTTGAAAACAGCTAAGGTTACACCTTTAAACATTAGGTCCCAGATATTTTTTGGCACCCAAGCTTAAAAATGTGGCCCAACCATTCTGAATACATATATTACCTAGTGTAAACAGTTTCACTTTTAGCATATGCCAGACAAAACTATCTAAAATGAACACCAAGATTGGCCAATTTAGGGAACCTAGTTGATCTTCATGAAAGAAGTTGACACTGGTTGAAAGTAAATTCCTTGCAGCTTGTTGTTAGAGTAAATTTTCTAGCTACATTACATGTAATTGCAATTCTCAGCTCTTGTGTGAGCATCAGATTTAATTTGAAGACGTTAACATTATCTTGTGTAACTTCACTGTTTGATCCAATGATCAACATGCAGCTATTCAGGAGTTGAAGTTGGTAATAAATTCTCTATTTTATATGCTATTTGTTTCATCATATGATCCTAGAGAACTGTTTTGTAGAGTTTTAACTCATTATTTGGTTGCCTATGAAATACTGACTTAAAGCAAACTTCAGATGAGTTATGATTGAAAGAAGCCAGTCTGGTCCTCTCCATCAGCCAGCATGGGAATAGTTTGACTTCAGTAAGTAAGATATACCTGGTGGAACCTACATCCAAAGGATCATGACTTCCCTTCTGAAAATGAATGTAGTGCGTTCCTTATATATAATTTCCCCTTCTTATTTATCAGTCTTCATTGTGCAAAGGTCACCAGATACATTAGTATGCTCCTTCAGCCTGCTTACGGCTTGAGGACAGAACTAGATCTGTCATTCACTGGCAGCAGGGGAATGTCGTATCCACTGAAGCTCCCTTCAGTTTTGTCTGCCTCCACAGTGACATGTGGCTCAGCCCGATATTCTGCTGCAGGGCTTTTCTAAGAGAAATGTCAACTTTCTATTTAAAATTTCTGTATAATATTTTGACTCAATAACTTGTCCATCTCATTTCCAGCAGTGTCTTGGGGTTGCATTTGCCTTTGGAAAGACTGTCCTCTTAGTGCTGCTTCTTCTTGGGAGGCATTTGCAACAGCTGTTGTCTTTGCAGGCATCAGGAGATAAGTTAGGCCAAGGGAAAACCATTGGCAAAAGGAAAGATCTTGGCCTCCTGCTTCATCTCTCTCCCTCCAATCAAGTGTCTCGTTGAGGAGGTTGGCCAGCTCTGTGGGAAGAATACAGTTCCCCCACAACCCAGTCTGGGCACAAAAGAAGCTAGGCTGGATTGGAGAGGCCAAGAGAGATGCACGGTATGTCTGCTTTGCAGCTGGGAGGTGTGACTGCATCTTGTGTAAGCATACCTGAGCTAGCTTTAATCTAGCTAGATTAAAGTTAGCTTGAACAACGATGGGAGTGTAGCCATGGAAGCTGGAGCAGCAGCGGGGCTAGCCTCCTAAGTACAAGGACTGGGTACATATCCAAGTGGCTAGCCTGTTCTGCTGTGCCTTAGCTTTGATCTAGATACATCAATCTTGGGTGGGCCTGTACAAGTTGCAATATCATATATTCATTGCAGTGTAAATGTACCCACAGGCACAGTCTCCACAGCCCAGGCAGGGTTGCCTCTGCCTCCATTCCGCAAGCAAGAAAGGAGGCAGGCAAGATTGGGAAAAACTGGCTTGCAGGCAAGTGACTATTCTCCCATATTGTCAGGGAGTCACTGTTTCTAAAGGGGGAAGATTTTTTGCCTGAACTATGGCCTCCTTACTGTACAGGCCCTTCCATTAAACACACTAAGTGCCCTCACATGCTTTCACAAGTAGTACTAACATGGGTGCGCAGTATTGCAAGTATGAGCCCTCAACTAGAAATCCTATGACATAAGGGTGTCTTGCTGAAAAAGAGAGCAGGACACATCTTTCATGTAGGTATATGGGGCCTTCATCACTGAGATCAGATGCTCATGCAAATCAGTCCCCAGCTCTTATTGCTACAATGGGAAACTTTATGGGAAGTTGAGGCTATTCAGAGTAATCAGAAAAGTAGACTTACAATCCTGGCTTCTGCCAGACACTGTAGAAAGAAATTCCCATTTTTACATCCCAGAGGCAACTCTTCCTTTCTGCATATGGATGTCACCGTTTTTCAGCTTCAATCATTACCCCACAGGCAGCTTTCTTTTTGCATATGGATGTCGCTGTTTTGTTTAACTTTGATCATTACCACTTCTTCTGGCTAGTGCTTCCAGGTCTCTTCCAGGATCAATGTAGTATTAATACCAGCTTTAAGGAAGAAGAAAATTCTATTTTATTTCTGCCTGGACAGTTTTACTGATCAGGGCTTTGTACAGAGAGACCTGAAAAATCAGCACACTATGATATTGTTCTTGGAGTACTTTGGATTCATGATAAAAACAAACATACAATGTCAGAGAAGTCGGTCATAGGCCTGGCCTTAGGGTGAATGCGGTCAGGTACAAGGTCTCTTTTCAACAGAATATTAATAGAAGATGAAGATGGCCATAAAGGAAAAGTGGTGTCATGGAAGAAAATGCAGTTTTGTTGGAGCGTACTGGGAATGCTGATCTCATGCACAGACATGCATCAATGAACACAAGACCTGTCCAGTAATTCCTGCAATCCCCTCTGCATTATCACATTGGCTGTGGAGATCAAGGTTCTATTATATACTCTCTCCTCTCTCAGGAACAATGGAAAAGGTAGGAAGGCGCATAGGCCACAGGGCACTTCATTTCAGTTTCCAGATGCAAGGTCACCATTGTAAATCAGTTTGACCTGGTGACCACTTGGCATCTGGAAACAGCAGTAGTCCCCTGTGGCCTCTTTGTGCACCATATGAGATGGTGAGTGACCTCTCACAAAGCTTGGCAATGTCTTTCCTATGTGACTTCCCACCTGTTCTGCTGCTAGCCAAGATCATACAAAAGATGGAAGCGTCAAAAAAGTGGAAGTCTGTTTATGCCTTCCTGGCTGAAGACTATGGCTTTGAGGCCTGATTAACCTAGTGTTCATTGGATCCTCTGATGTTTCTATCTCATAATGAAGTAAACTTGATCTCCCTTAATGTTTGGTATCAGCTGAGGCTGATGTGAATCAGGTGCTATTGTTCTAGAAATTAGGAATTGCAATGAGCTTCAGCACTTTAAAATATTGTTTCCAGTGACCAATCCTAAACTTTAAAGTAATTGAAAATCTAAAACTCTTTGCTTCCCACATACTAGAAATTAATCTAGAGCTGAAATTCCTAGTCGGTGCCCCTCAGCAAGTAGTTTTCTATTTTTAAAACACAACATCTAGTTCCTAAACTTCCCAGCTGATATGTGTGGTACTTGTTGGTGCTGATGAGGTAGATAACTTGCTGTTTTCTCAGTTCCTACATTCAACTCTCTGCATCTGGTGCTGAAGATGAGAGAATAGAGCTAAGGGACAAGAAAACCAGGAAGGGGACAAGAATACAGGGCAAGAACACTGTGTTGGTCTTTAAAAAGGAGAAATTTTTTTGAATTAATGCAAAAAGCCAGCAAAGGAAACAATAGACAATGAAAGAAAAGGAGAAAAATATTAAGTAACAAAAGGAGAGAACAGAGCTCATCCAGATGCACTGTTTTGATACATGTTTCCCATACTTCGTGATGTGAATAAAATGTGTACTGACCCCTCTAATTTTGTGCAGAAGAAGAGAGAATGTTCTTGATCTGGACTCACTGACATAGTCTGTATCTAGTGTAAAAGAGTCGTATTTTTAAAACTTTCCATAGTGACGGGATCTTTTTTCTCAATTAGTTTGCTACTTGGCACTAATATTTGATGTATAACTTGCATTGTAGTTTAATTGAGACAAGGTGGATGAGGTAATATCTTTTATTGAGCCAGCTTCTGTTGGTGGACGAGACAAGCTTTCGAGGAAGAAGAGCTCTGTGTAAGCTTGAAAGCTTGTCTATCACCAAAAGAAGTTGGTCCAATAAAAGATATTACTTCACCCACCTTCTCTCGCTATTAATGGCCAGTCTGTTTGATTTATTTGGAGGTGGTGGGGTGGGAGGAAGGTGCAGGTGTTAGAAGGCAGTTGAGCATGTTTTTATTTTCTGCTCCTACCTGTGCTGCTGACTCCTTGCTAGAGGAGGAGGAGAAAGTAACAGCAACACACACGTCCTGTACAAGTACTATATAGAAACAAACACTGTCTTCATTGCAAAGCTTCTGTTGGACTATATTTTATTTTAAAAAAATAGGGAATAAGAACTGCTGCTGAATGAAATGGTGAGCAAAAGAAGTTCCTTGTTCTTCAAGTTACCTTTTCAGGAGGAAGAGCTCTGTGTAAACTCGAAAGGTTGGCACTCTCGCCATCAGAAGTTGGTTCAATAAAAAAAATATTACCTCACCCATCTTGGCTCTCTAATATCCTGGGATCAACATGGCTACAACAACACTGCATACAACAATGGAAGATATTGTAAATTAATTGACATTCAGTATAGCCATTTACTTCCAGGCTAAAATATCAACATCAGCTTTTTAATAAACTAGACTTTAGATGAAGGGAGCATTATCTAGCTGTTAAAGTGCAGAACTAATGGCCAGATGATCTGAATTGTATTCCTCGCTCTGCCACAAACCTGCTATAAATGCATAAATAAAAAATAAAAAAATATTTCTAGCAAGACTGTGCTATATTTGTTTATAAAATTCTATTAATCTCTTTACTGTTACTGTAATGCTATTCTGTAATCTACACAAAATACTAGCAGCCTCTCCCCACTGCTTAAATTATAACAGAAGGAGGTGATAGTGAAGTTTCATATTATTCAGAACAGGTACATTACAAAGTACAAATTTAAAACTGCACTTTGTCAGAAATGAATGTGTTATGACTTGGTAATTTGAAAAAGTCCATAATTAGTACTGGGCTCTGACTAATTAGTATGAATTAGCAAGGTTCTACTATATTTTGATTGTTTAATGTAAGTACTTTTCAAAATCCAATCCTTTTTATTTTATACAGGTTTTTAGATACGTCCAAACAAGCCATAGGGATGTTGTTCATACACTTTGCAAATGTGTATTTATCAGACCTAACTGAAGAGGACCCTTGTTCACTGTGAGTGCTGTGAATTTGAGTAAACTACTCTTTAGGGAAATATCTTTTCTGAGATTCATTGACAATTTAATTGGGGGTTGATGGTTGGAAAAAGAATCTGAGGAACTATATGAGGGGTTTTTGAAAGTTCACATTTTAAGAATAACTAATGGAGGATCAGAATTCTGGTATCGCTTCCTTGTCAGTGTGAACTGGGAATCATTGAGAGGCAATTGAGTGTCCTGACGCCTTGTATTGTGGGGAGAAAAGCACCTTGTATCTCCAAGGAAACATCACCCCACACACACACACACCCCTCCTCTCTTGCCAAATTAATGTATCATTAATAAGGATATGATTTAGTCATGGAGGTCACAGATTCGGTGACTTTAACAAACCTCTGTGACTTCTTCGGCTTCAGCCCCTGCAGCTGTGCCGTGGGCTGGGATCATCAGTCCTTTTTCCCCCCATCCCCTCGTATTTTTTAGTAAAACTCAGAGACAGGTTGTGGGCTTCTATGAATTCTTGTTTATTGTCCACGACCTGTCCGTGACTTTTACTAAAAATAACTGAAAAAATCTTAACTTTAATTGTTAAAAACCACATCCTAACAGAAGGAAAGGTTGTAACACAAGGCTGTTGTCGGGGGAGGGAGGAGGCGGTCAAGGAAGTAGGGGATCCTAGAGAGCTAAGAAAATCTACTATGGTTCCAATAAGTATCATGCATAAACACTCCAAAAATCTTACATTAATCCAGTCAGGCATGAATATTAAGTCAGAGTGGTGTCTGAGGATATTTTATAATGGCTTTCCTGTCTGTTTTCTAAAATGCAGTATTACTTTCACTGTTAATGCTGAAAAATGTTGCTCAGCATGTAGGAGGCTAATTCAGAAAACATTAATTTTGCAATCTCATGCTCTGAGCATTGTGACTATGCATATAAATTCCATTATGTTAATTCTGAAGATTTATGTCTTTGAGACAATTTTGAGCTCCTGAGTCTTTACCAGCAGCTACAGAAGGAAATGGAGGAGAGTTTGGGGTCTTTCTTGAAATGCGCTCCTGCCCAACAGCTTACTCTTCTGGTAATGGGTGCTGTAAAGCCACTTTTAACAGCATATAATTTTGGACCGGCATTTTACACTCTTGAGTCCCAGCTAGAGGGTTGGCTCCACACACTGCACCAAAGGACACTGCTTACTTAGAAACTTCTGAGCTCATGTTCAGTGGGCTGTTCTCGGTTGATTTGAAATGGTGGCTCTACATAGCAAATCAAGAAATTATTATTGGAAGGCCATTGTATTTTTATCTAATAATTACACAAGGTTTTAGCTTTAAAAAGTCTTATAAATAGACTGGTATTATGAAAAACTTCAGTGTAATTGTAGCTCCTAATCTTGTGGGAATGCAAGAGGCAGAGCCAGAATCTTGTCACATTAGGCTGTCCACCTAAACTGACAGGTTTCAGATATAACTTAGTTATACGAATTAACGTAAGGCCAATGGCTTGTTCCTCCACCATTCACAGTACATTTTAAAGAAAGATGATTATTGAGATATCCCATGTTTACAATTCATGTATATGATAGGATCTTCTTTTGACCTCTGAATGATCAGAATACAGCATAGACAGGGATTGTTGATTTACATTGTCGGACCCTACTCATACGTATATACAGGTTTCAGAGTAGCAGCCATGTTAGTCTGTATTCACAAAAAGAAAAGGAGTACTTGTGGCACCTTAGAGACTAACCAGTTTATTTGAGCAAAAGCTTTCGTGAGCTACAGCTCACTTCGTCGGATGCATTCAGTGGAATCCGATGAAGTGAGCTGTAGCTCATGAAAGCTTAAGCTCAAATAAATTTGTTAGTCTCTAAGGTGCCACAAGTACTCCTTTTCTTTTCACCTAAACTGAGTCATTTTTAACTTCTGGGAGTACAAAAAGGCATCAAGAAACTAGTACTCAGAATTCAGGGAGCTGCAAGTTAAAATCCCTGAACAAACTTTACGGGCAGATTTTAAATACCTTAAGATAAGGAGGATTGTAATTTAAACACTTAATTAGAAAGGAGCAAGCAACTGCACTATAATATAGCCTACTAGATATTTTCCCAGTCTTTGGACTGCAGTGACCTCTTGTGGTCTTTGGAATAAAATGGTTTGTGTTAGCGATACTTGTGTTGCTTGTTGGTTCCTCTGCTAAACACTTAAAAATTGATTATATGGTCCTCTTAATCATAATTTTGAAGCAGAGTTGTTGTGTTAACATTTTAAAAAAATGATTATGGAAATACTAATTCTGCACAAAAAGCTGTGTGTGTAAGACCTGGGTGCAAAATGGCATGTTAACAGAAGTTTTGCTTTCTTTTTATATTCTTGCTGAGCCTCTTCTGAATCCCAAAACTGGTGTTGAGGCTCAGAACTGTTCAGTTTGGGAGACTACCATTTTAACCCTTTACACCCTATCTCCTCTTTCTAATAGTACCCATTTCACCACCACAGCCCTTTTCTTCCAATCACTAGAGCAGGGGTGGGCAAACTTTTTGGGCCGAGGGCCACATCTGGGTGGGGAAGTTGTATGCAGGGCTGGGGCAGGGGGTTGGGGTGCAGGAGGGAGTGCAGGGTGTGGGAGGAGGTGCGGTGTGCAGGAACAAGCTCAGGGTAAGGGATTGAGGCAGAGGAGGGATGTGGGTGCATGAAGGGGCTCAGAGAAGGAGGTTGGGGTGTGGAGGGCAGGAGGGGGCTCAGGGAAGGGGTGCAGGAGATGTGTGGATGGGAGCAGGGCAGGGGGTCGGGGTGCGGGTATGGCGGGGGCCTCAGGGCAGGGGGCTAAGGGGCAGGGGATGTGTGAGATGCAGGCAGGGGGCTCAGAGCAGGGAGTTGGGGGGCAGGGTGCAGGAGGGGTTCAGGCTCCGGCCCAGCGCCGCTTACCTAAAGTGGCTCCAGGGTGGCGGAGGTGTGCACCAGGGCAGGCTGCCTGCCTGCCCTCCTGCCCTGGCCCCACATCACACCGCTCTGGGAAGCGGCCAGCACCATGTCCCTGCGCAGCCCCGGGGGGGGCGCGGGCACAGGGCTCTGCGTGCTGCCCTTGCTGCACCTCTAGGTACCTCCCCTGAAGCTCCCATTGGCCATGGTTCCCCGTTCCCGGCCAATGGGAGCTGTGAGGGGGGGGGGGGCGGTGCCTGGAGGCAAGGGCAATGCATGGAGCCCTCTGCCTCTTCTCCCTCCCCTCCCATCCCCCAGGCCGCAGGGACGTGGTGCCAGCTGCTTCTGAGAGCAGCGCGGGGCCTGCAGCACCATGGGGGGCAATCCCGTGGGCCAGATCCAGAGCCCTGACGGGCCAGATCCGGCCCACGGGCCGTAGTTTGCCCACCCCTGCACTAAAGAGTGCCAATAGCTTCCTCTGAGACACCAGTTTTCCTCCTGCAGATGTGCAAGTAAAACACACAATGTTGTCACCCTTTCTACTTGGGCACACCATCCACATGGAAGCACAAATCCCAGGTAGCAGTACAAAGAGTTACCATCAAGACCCCTGACTGGCTTCAAGTATTCATGTTAAAAATTTTCGACCCAATGTGGCCTTTAAAAGAACAGTTTAATGTCATGTCACTGGTAGCACCTGAGCTGTTACCTTGTTCAACCAAGAGTGATTAGCAAATGAGATACCAGAACATCTTGTAAGTCAATGTGACATTCTGGTGAAGATATAACTCATGATTCACTTAAATTCCATAATAATCCCTTTAGCTTTTGGTGTATACCATACAGCCAAAAGTTTCTTTTAAAACAACTTAACAGTAGAGTAGCAACTATATAACGATTGAAATAGTTATATATATTAAAAAGAAAACGGGATTTAGACAGTCTTTCTGAAGATACGTACAATTAACATATTCAGAATGGTTATATACAGTAATTGACTTGGTGGAAATAAATCAGTCCAGTCTAATGTTTGGTGGAATTACTTTACATTTGTATTCTATAGTTATTACACCATACATGTTTTGTATTCAGCACCGGGCTGTTCATAGCTGGGTCTACAAGCATTACTTTTCAGTAGAAAAACTGATGGCTGCAGCATCTCACGTATGTAAGAGCTGTGCCTTCCTTTAACATCCACATGCAGCAAGTCCGTATTTTCCATGACTGGAATGAGTTTGGCTTTTTTTTTTTCATTTTGAGCTGTTTTCCAAGCTATATAAGAAACAAGATGTTTTTAAAATAAGATGTTGTTCTCTGGCTCCACTTAAATGAAGTCTTTCCAAATAGAGAAATGAGAGTGGGAAGATGAAGTTGGTTTTAACTTGAGGACATAAAATGCAAATTGGAGTTTGTACACAGAAATACATGGAGCTTCATTTAACATTTAACTTGAAGGACAAATACTAGTAGTGGGGTAGTTATAAAACTGTTTAAAATCTCGGATAAGAAATGGGAGCAAATACATAACTGTTCAAGTTTTTAAAATCTCATAGTGATGCTGGCCTTTTAGAGAGGCAAGCAAATTTACCCTTTGTCAGTTGCAGTAATATGATGCCCGCTAACTCCAGGGGAAAAAAAACATGCTCATGGTTTTCTCTTCTGTACTTTCTCCCCCCTTCCAGGTACCTTATAAACTTCTTGCTGGATGCCACCTTAGGGATGCTGCTAATCTACGCTGGTGTGCGCGCAGTCAGCAGCATTGTGGAATGGCAGCAATGGGAATCCCTTCGCTTTGGTGAATATGGTAAATATTTCTATTCTTGCAACTAAATGAATTGAAGAGTAGAGTCTTGCAGTGATACTGCACTTGCTTTTAAAGATGGTCAGTTAAACATTATTACACAAACGGGTGTGTAATAGTCAAGTCTAACACTTGACTAGCATCCTGTGACAGACCCAGACTGGTTGGGTTCAGGAGTCTGATAGAAGGAAAACACACTGGATGAATAGTTTTCTGTTTCCTGAGTGACCAAGGCAGAGGCTACTGCAGAGCAGTCAGGAAGGTGCTAGAAGCAATTAATTCAGGCAGACTCCATAAGACACCTGGAATCAATTAAGAACGGATTAGAAGCAATTAAAGGAAACAGGGTAATCAGATCACCTGAAGCCCGTTTAGAACCATCTGGGACTAGTTTAAAAGGAAGCCCCTTCAGAGAGGCCGGCTGCTAGGAGCTGGGAGTAGGAAGGTGTGTAGTGGGAAGACTGGGAGAAAGAAGGTGTACAGTAAAAGACCCGGGAGAACAAGCGTGGTCAGGTACCAAGGAGAGTGCTAGGAGGGGCTGTTTGGGGAAGTAGCCCAGGGAAGGGCTATAGCTCTGGTAGTATAGGAAAACTACCTGTTTCTGCTGCCAATTAGGGTCCCTGGGCTGGAACCCGGAGAAGAAGGTGGGCGCGGGTTCCCCTCAGTGTCCACACACAGAGTTCCTGGCCTGATCAGGCGTGATGGCAGCCGTACGGGCCCAGAAGTTCCATGATTGGAAGTACCAGGAGAGCAAGCCACCAAGGTCTCAGCTGTTAGATCTAATGCACCTTGCTCGGAAGTGGCTACAGCCTAAGGCATGCAGCTCAGAGAAAGTTTTGGAGACGTTGGTCATAGACGAATTTATGCGGAGACTACCGCAAGACCTTTGTACGTGGGTAGGCAAGCACAACCCGTCCACCTACGATGAAACAGTCGTGCTGGTAGAGAGACAATTGATGGCCAGGGAATTGACCCATCTACCTAGGGAAGGCCCCATATGAGACAAGCGACTAACGCCAACCCCAGGGGTTCAGGTGACCAGGGACCCTTAGGTGGAAGAAGAGAGAGGCTGAAGACCAGATGGGACTCCAGGAGGATGGGAATGGATTGGGTGGGGGAAACCCCGAGCCTAAACCTCCTAATCCATGGGATAGGAGAAGCAATTATAGGTGTTACGGGTGTGGAGAGCTGTGTTAGGCATGGCAGCCCAGTGCCCCAACCTCGAAGAGCACATGCAGTGTAATCTCGTGGACTGGAGTGGCCCATGCTCCCTCCTCAACCTTGTGGGGGTCGCAGTCACCCCCCACAAATATACAAGGCCAGTAAAAGTGGATGGGGTAGAAACGGTGGTGCTCATAGATTCGGGAGCACTATCACCCTGATCTCAGGTAAACTAGTAAAGCTCAGCAAGTTAACGCAAGCTAAACATACAGGGGTAACGTGTCCATGGGACTGTTAGCTACTACCCCATCATACCAGTAAAGCTAGAAGTTCAGGGAAATGTCACAAGGTGAAAGCAGGGGTGGTCCCACAGCTCTCCTATCCTGTGCTCATCAGAAGAGATTTTTCCCAGGTTTGGAAACTTGGGAGTGGTGGGAGAAAGAGGAGCTCCCCAAACTGACGGAGGCCTCCACAGCAGAATGTTCTCCCCCAGTGTTCATGGAAGTATCCCAGGAACTATTCCCCGCCCACGGGGGAGGCCGGAACACAAAAAGGGAAAGAAGGGCTTCCAAGGCCTTGGGTACCCGAATCCTGCTACAAGGACAAAGGGCCGCCTGTATAGACGAGCAGACTTGGGCTACTAAAAGGAAGGACCCCAAGACACAGGCAGGTTCAGAAACTGGTTCCAACCCCAACCCCACAGAGCTGGCTAGAGGGTAGAAGAAGATCCCTCAGAGTTCCAGCTCATAAGTCCCAGGAGGGCAACTTTTGGACGGGACCAGTGGAGGACTCAAGGTATGAGAGTGCCAGGAAGGAGATGGCCAAGATAGATGGGGTACCCGTAGCAGTAAAAACTCATACTTCATAATCAAGAAGGACCTCCTGTACAGGGTCGTGCGCATGCAGGACAAAAGGTACACCAGCTCCTAGTACCCTGAAAACACCAGAGGGCAATATTAAACCTTCCCCGCAGTCACCTTTTTGGAGGACACCTGGGGGTGGAGAAAACCCAGGTGCGAATCTTGCTCAGGTTCTTCTGGCCGAGGAGACATGAGGATGTCCGGCAGTACTACACCTCCTGTCCCGAATGTCAATTGTGCAGCCCTCCTCCACATCTAAGAGCCCCTTTGGTACCCCTGTCGATCATTGAAGTTCCATTTGAGCGGATCGCCATGGATCTAGTGGGGCTGCTAGAGAAGATGACCCGAGGCCACCAGTATGTGCTTGTCATCCTAGACTGTGCACCCAGGTATCCAGAAGCTGTCCCCCTATGAAACACAGCCTCCAAGAGCAGTGCCAAAGTACTTGTGGAAATCTTCACCTGGGTAGGGCTACCAAAATAAATCCTCACGGGACCAAGGAACACTGTTCATGTCCAAGCCAATGAAGGACCTGTGTTTCCTGCTCCATGTCCAGACCCTGCGGACCTCGGTTTACCACCCACAAACCGATGGTCTGGTGGAAAGATTTAACCGGACCCTCAAGGCCTTGATAAAAAAAGGTGGTAAGCAAGGATGGGAAAGATTGGGACAACCTACTACCATACCTCATGTTCGCCATCCATGAGGTTCCCCAAGCTTCCACGGGATTCTCCCGCTTTGAGCTATTGTATGGACGCCACCCCTGAGGCATGTTGGACATACCCAAGGAAACTCGGGAGGAGGAACCCAGTGAGGGGAAGAACGAAATAGAGCATGTGCTACAAATGAGGGACCGGATAGCCTGGGTCACTCCCATAGTGAGGGAGCACCTAGAAAAGGCCCAAGAGGCCCAGCGAGCTTACTACAACTGTCAAGCCAAAGTTCGGCAGTTTCAACCTGGCAACCGAGTAGTGGCACTAGTATCCGTGGCAGAAAGTAAGCTATTGGCCCAGTGGGAAGGACCCTACGAAATAGCTGAACCTGTGGGGGGGCGTGGGTGGGTGGGTTGTAAATTACAAGGTGCGACAACCAGGACATAGAAAACTAGAGCAAATATATACCATGTCAACCTTCTGAAACCCTGGCATGCCTGAGAGGCATGTGCAGCTGTTCGAGAAGACCTGTACCCAGTGGACAAAATCCCTGAACAGGTGAGGGTGTGTCCCAATTTAACGCCAGTCCAGAAGAAGGAGGTATTTGAGATGATCATCCAGATGTATTCTCGACAAAGCCAGGTCGCACAAACGAGACATATCACCACATCGTCACAAACCCTGGGGCCAGAGTAACAATGAGGCCCTACCAGGTACCAGCAGCCAAAAGGAAGGAAATAAAAGCAGAAGTAAAACAAACACTGGAGATGGGGATCATCAAAGAATCCCACAGTTAGTGGTCCAGCCCGATAGTGGTGTTGCCCAAACCTGATGGCACCGCAAGGTTCTGCAACGACTTCCGCCGACTGACTGAGATATCCCAGTTTGATGTATAACCCATACCTCGCATAGACAAACTAGTGGACCGTCTGGGTAATGCCTGGTATTTGATGACCCTAGACTTGACAAAAGAGTACTGGCAGATTCCCCTAGCCAAAGACGCAAAGGAAAAGATGGCGTTCTCTACACCAGAGTGTCTTTTCCAATACACTGTCCTTCCTTTTGGACTACATGGGGCTCCAGCTACGTTTCAGTGCCTCATGGACAAGCTATTACGCCCCCATGCCAGGTATGCTGTGGCCTACCTGGATGATGTGGTTATTCATACCCCAGACTGGGAAACCCACTTGAAGGTGGGGGCAGTCCTTGATACCTTCAGGTGAGCTGGCCTTATGGCAAACCCTGTCAAGTGCGCCATAGGGTTCACGGAGGCCAAATATGTTGGCTATGTGGTAGGAAAAGATCTGGTAAAACCCCAGCTGAATAAGTTAGAGGCCATCCAAAATTGGCCCCAGCCGAGTCATAAGAAGCAGGTCCTAACATTCCTAATGGTGGGGTATTACCGGCGTTTCATCCCCCATTTTGCCACAAGGGCAAGTCCCCTAATGGACTTGGTGAAGGCCTGTGGCCCTGATCCAGTCAGATGGTTGGATGCAGCAGCGAGGGCATTCGCAGACCTACGGACTAGCCTGTGCAATAACCCTGTATTGGTAGCCCTGGATTTCACCATGGAATTCATCCTACAAACAGATGTATCCGAGGTGGGGTGAGAGGCCGTCCTCTCGCAGATGGTCAGGGAGGAGGAGCACCTAATACTCTACCTCAGCAGGAAACTCCTTCCGAGGGAACAAAAATATGTAGTGGTTGAGAGGGAGTGCCTCACTGTTAAATGGGCCATGGAAGCATAACGTTATTACCTGCTTGGGTGTAGATTTGTCCTTGTGACTGACCAGGCCCCACTTCAATGGATGCAGTGAAACAAGGAGAAGAACTCCAGGGTAACCAGGTGGTTCTTGTCCCTCCAACCTTTCGTGTTCCACATGCAACATAGAGCAAGGAGCCGCCATGGCAATGCCGATGGTTTGTCACGTGTGCACTTTATGTTGTCCCAAGCCGCCCAACCCCTTGCTGTTGAGCAGGGGGGAGGGATATGTGACAGACCCAGACCAGTTGGTGCAGGAGTCTGATAGAAGGAAACACACTGGATGAATAGTTTTCTGTTTCATGAGTGACCAAGGCAGAGGCTACTGCAGAGCAGTCAGGAAGGTGCTAGAAGCAATTAATTCAGGCAGACTCCATAAGACACCTGGAAGCAATCAAGAACTGATTAGGAGCAATCAAAAGAAACAGACTAATCAGATCACCTGAAGCCCTAAGCACCTAGAAGCCCAGTACCCTCCGAGGCATGGCCGGTGCTCTGCCACAATCCCTTTACAGTTTTTTAATTGGTTGCTATACCTAGGGTATTACAAGAGAACACCTAATAAAC